CAGAGCCAAGACCAGAGGCTGCTCACACTGTGGCTGGACAAGGACAGTCGTCGGACTTTCAGGGATGTGGTCAGGTGAGTGGGGCTTTCTACTCCTAGGACTCTGCCCCCCAAAGGGAAACTCTGAACGCCCACAGTCTCCTGCTCTTGGCCCAGGTTACTTATCAGAGTCAGATCTGTGGCCAGCAGGTTTTAGGCCACTGCCCTGTGACTTGAGGCTAGTACTAAATGTTCCCAGGACTCCTCCAGGCACACACACCCTGCACTGACCTTTCATCACAGGCTCCCCTTTGGGGACATCTGTATCCCTATTTTGTGACTTTTGCAGGTTTTCCCCAGGGAGGTAGACACAAAGACACAGTGGCCTAGATCCGAGCATCTCCCCCACTAACAGGGAACCTTGGTGCACAATGACCTCCTTCTCTGATTTGTCCCCTGTCTTCTTTGTAACTCCCCCTCTGTTCCCTACAACAGTTGGTCTTCCTTTTAAATGTGCTGGGCAAATCTGGTCCCCGATTACCTTCTAAGCTGCTTTTCCCCCACTGCAGATTTGAAGTTGGTCCCTGCCCAGAGCCATGTTCACGGGCCCAGAAATCCAAGATGTCAGCGCTCAATTCACATAGGCAGGAGACAGAAAAGAATATGGCCAAGCCCAATTCTCTTCTGATGCCCATCAACACATTCTCTGGCATCATCCAGTGAGCCTGCCAGGCCAGTGGGAGATCTGGATCCAGGGCAGCAGACCCAAGAAGGAGGAAACACTACCTACCCATCCACAATGTTCACACTGACAGCCCTACTGGGCAGCTATGCTTGGACCAGGAGCCAGAGAATGCCTGGGAATTAAAAGAGCCTGTATTGTAATGAATAAATGTGATAAGGAAGGACCCAGCCCAAGACTGCCAGATTGCTGGACAAAGCTGGAATGAGATGAGCTGATGCACATTCAGTCCAGCTTCTTCCAGAAACATCTTTCTCATGATGATGTTCATTTCCCATTTCTCATGCACTTCATCATCCACTCCAGCTCTCTAGGGAGTCCTGAGAACTGGTGTCAGATAGCTGCAGGTATAGCTGGTGGTATAACACAGCGGTAGAGCACTTGCCTAGTATGTGGGAGGCCTTGGTTTGACCCCAGTATACAAAGGGGGGTCAGAGCTGATGGGTTCAATATTTGTACAGAATCCTGTGGCTGAGGAAGAAACAGGAAGTAGGTCGTGAACACTGTTCCTACTTCCTTTTGAGTCCGTACCATCCTTTCCAGCTCTCAGACCACGGCTCACCTGTGCCGAGGCGGGTGGGTCGGTCTGTAGAGAAGACAGTGAGAGTCTCAATAAAAACACACTAAAGTGTTTCTGCTTCTGTGCATGTGCACTCGCACACGTGTGTGTGTGTGTGTGTGTGTGTGTGTGTGACATTATATGTATGTAGATCAGAGGAAAATTTGTGGAAATTTCTTGTTTCCTTCCACAGTGTGGTTCCTGGGAAACAAAACTAAGGTTGTTGGCTTGGCAGCAAGCACCTTTCCCCACTCATCCATGGCCACAGCCCTATGTGTACTGCACAAGAAGTCTGGAGACAGGACTTAATCTAACCAAATGGGTTCACTCAGGCTGGGCAACAGTTCTGTTCCATATTCATTGCTGAGGTCTGTTCCCCTACCCTTTCCTCTCCTTGTTTTTCTTAACTTAAGGACTCTCTCAAACAGAGGCAGGAACACAGGGTAGCTTCAGGAAAGTCAGAGCTTAAAGAATAAGAAAAATTGACATTTCAAGTAAAAAAAAAATTTGCACACTGTCTTAATTAGTTTTACTGCTGTGAGCAGACACCATGACCAAGGCAAGTCTTATAGAGACAATATTTAATTGGGACTGGCTTACAGGTTCCGAGGTTCAGTCCATTATCATCAAGGTGGAAGTATGGCAGCATCCAGGCAGACATGGTGCAGGAGGAGCTGAGAGTTCTATATCTTCCTCTGAAGGCCTCTAGGAGGAGACTGGCTTGCAGGCAGTTAGGATGAGGGTCTTAAAGCCCCTGCCCATAGTGGCACACTTCCCCAACAAGACCACACTTCCAAATAGTGCCAGTCCCTGGGGCAAGCATATACAAACCACCACACACATCAATGACAAAGCCATAGCAGTGTTCTTGGACCCATGATCCACGGCCTCATGACTGTAGGCTGGGGGAGAAATAAAAAAAGTCCAAAGGGGTTAGACTTGAGCCCCTTCCTGTCAACTAGATGGAGTCCCTGGGCTGGTGGGATCCTGTGAAGCAGAGAATCCATATTAGCTACTTTACTGTTGCTGTGCTAAAATGTCATGACCAAAGAGCAACTGTAGAAAGAGTTCATTTTGGCTCAGGGTTCCAGTGGGATGAGAGTCCACTGTGTCACGAAGGAATGGCAGCAAGCAGTGGGCAGGCGTGGCGGCAGGAAGGGCGTGGCGGCAGGAAGGGCGTGGCGGCAGGAAGGGCGTGGCGGCAGGAAGGGCGTGGCGGCAGGAAGGGCGTGGCGGCAGGAAGGGCGTGGCGGCAGGAAGCTGAGAGCTCACATCTTTGAACACAAGCATGAAGCAGCGAGAACAAGCAGAGAGGCAGCTTTAAACTCTCAAAGCCCTGGCCAGATGCACACACCTTTAATCCCAGCACTCCAGAGGCAGAGGCAGTTGGATCTCTGTGAGTTCCATGCCAACTTGGTCCACAGAGCGAGTTTCAGGACAGCCAGAGCTACACAGAGAAACCCTGTCTCAAAATAAACAAACAAATAAATAAAATAAACTCTCAAAGCCTGACCCCAGTGACATATTTCTTCCAGTAAAACCTGCTAACTGTCCCACCACCACCACTAAATAGTGTCACCAACTGGGGACCAGGTCTTCAAATATCTGAGTGTACAGGCAACATTTTCATTCAAGTCAATATAGAATCAAGGGGTTGGGGGAGGAGGGAGAAAGGGAGGGAGAGAGGGAGGGAGAGAGGGAGGGAGAGAGGGAGAGAAGAAGGGAGGGGAGGGAGGGAGAGTAGCAGTGGCACGTTATCTCTGACCTCATTATCCTAGGAACAGGGGAAAGTCCCATGACCCATTCTTAAAGCCAAGGATGACGTAAGTAGGGCTCGGGGTTAGTTCAATATACACACCCAAAGGCAGTCTAGGCTTACAGAAAGTCTCTGCTCCCCCATAGGCATGGAAAGAAGGGAATGTTTTCTCAGGCAGCCAGAAGCAGACAAGCCCAAAGGGTCTCAAAGAGAAAAGAGTGCAGCTGTAGGAAGAAGCAAGTTGGAGGAAGGCTGCTGAAAGAGGCGCAGGCTGGAGGCACGGCTGGGCGGGCAGTGTTCAGTGATTTGAAACTGGTTATGACCACAACCTCACTGAGTTTGACCTAGGATTTTCTGGGTTTTTGTTTTTCATTTGTTTGGGTTTTTGGGGTTTGTTTTTGTTGTTGTTGTTTTGTTTGTTTGTTTGATTGATTTTTTGCACTGAGGTGATATGAACTGCTTCAGACCAGTTTGAACATTCACAGTCACACAAGCTTTTGTTTTGGGCTCTGTGTGTGTGTGTGTGTGTGTGTGTGTGTGTGTGTGTTTAGTGGTTGATATCTTTGAGACAGGATCTCACATAGCTAAGGCTGGTCTTGAACTCCTGATTCTCCTGCTTCTACCTCCAAATGTGGGATTATACGACTAAGACTTCACATCCATTAATCATTTGAGTTTTTGTTTTCTTTTTGCTCAGTTTTGTAAACAAGATCTCACCTAGCTGAGGCTGACAGTGAACTCCTGATCCTCCTGCCTCCATCCCTCAACTGTTGGACTCAGGCATGCGTCACCATACCACACTAGCAACTCTTAGTTTTTAAATTTTAATTTAATAACGTTTTAATCCTTAGGTTTTAAATCATCAGTAACAGTCTGTCAGTCACATGGTTAGAGAAAGTTCTGAGGGTCTTAGCTTTTGGCCTGTAGTTTTTTTTTAAAGATTTATTTATTTATTTATTTATTTATCATATATGAGTACACTATTACTTCCTTCAGACACACCAGAAGAGGGCATCGGTTCTCATTACAGATGGTTGTGAGCCACCATGTAGTTGCTAGGAATTGAACTCAGGACCTCTGTAAGAGCAGTCAGTGCTCTTAACCTCTGAGCCATCTCTCCAGGCCTGGCCTGCAATTTTTAAGTGTCTGTAGTCACTTCCTCTACCGAGGGCTCTTTGGTTCAAAGCCAGCTAAGAACTTCTGGAGTGCACTCCCAAATAGGGCAGGCAACAGCATTCTATTGACTGTAGATGAAATTTTCCATTGTGTGCATTCTGTCTGGGGCTGTGAGGTGCTACCAGGATTGGAAATATATATGTATATGTGTATATATATATATATACACATATACATATACGTGTGTGTGTGTGTGTGTGTGTGTGTGTGTGTATTCAAGGTCACATCTCTAAGGTCTGGGAGCCAAAATATCTGCCTTTCTGGGAGTTCTAGTGCTGATGGAAAAAAGCAATAAGGTAAACAGAAGATTATAGACAAAAGTTCACTTGATAATAGCAAACAGGGGAGGGGAAGTGTGAGTCCTGATAATGGCCAGTCAGTGAGTCCTGGTGCTGGCCAGACAGGATTGGGATTTCACTTACAATCAACAAGATCAACTCTGTGGCGATGGGCCTACGAATACAGACCTGAAGAAGAGGGATGTGTGAGGACAAAGGATGTACTGATGTTGTTCACTTTATTCCTCTCTTCCCGGAAACATCCCCATCCTGACCATGACAGTTTCTCATGCCTGAGGCAGTCCAGGGGCCCAACAGGACCTTTGGCCAGAACGCGCCCAGCAAACCACAAGGTGTCATCCATTAGGTGGCGCAGGTGAGGCGCAGGTGCAACAGGTGCGGCAGGTACAGCCAACAGGTGCGCGGGCTCCGCCCCCGCCGCGTCTCTCTTGGGGCGGGGTCACTTCCGGGAGAGTGGCCGGACGTGGGGGGCAAGTAGCCGTTGGCTAGGTGACAGGAGGCGACGCAATCCAGCTTGCTCGGAACCCTGAGGCAGCGATCCTCCCTCCCCGGGATATGGAGCCCCACGCGCCTCGCGCGCCCGCGATCTAACTCAGTCCTGTGCCCTTCCGGGTCTGACGGAATCCCATAGCCATGAGTCCCAACCCGCAGTGGGATGTCCCCAGGGCACTACGGGTGGCCAGGCTCTTCCACTTGGTGTGCGGGGTCCGGGATGCCTGTGTGACTCCGTTCCTGACCCTCTACCTGAGGCAACTGGGTGTGGCCGCGCCCTGGGTGGGCATCCTCATGGGAACCAAGCACCTGATCGCTGCCTGCTGGACTCCCTTCTGTGCCTTCCTGGCCAAACGCTACCAGAAAAGGAGAATGTTTCTGACAGGCTCATTGCTGGGCTCCGCAGGTGCCAGCCTCCTGATGGTTCTTGTCCCACCGGTGAACAGAAATCTGATCAACCACTTTTGTAATGGAAGCAGTAGAGTGGCCACCACTGTCCTACCGCTGGGGGTCACACAAACTGTGACCATGATCCCTGCCCAGGGATCAGTCCCAAACCACTGGGCAGGAGCTCCCAGCCTCCCAGGAAGGAGGCACACCAGAGCCCTGGACACTTCTGGCTTTCCAAATGGATCTGGTAAAACTCAAGAAGGAACGTTTAGCAGTCTGCAGACCTATTTGGTGGGCTCTGTTGAAGGAGCCAGGACCACTACACAAGTTCTCCATCTTATCACTTCTGGGTTGAGAGATAATTCCCAGAAAGGGACTTTAGAGGTGGACAATGCTACCCTGAGTCTATTTCCTGGAAGTGCAACCCTTGGAGGTCCAGTCAATTTGTCAAAGGCCCAGGGAGACACCCAGATCCATCATCACCTCTCGAAAAGGCCACAGTGGACCTTCATCCTCTCCTTGGGGTTTGTGGTATTCTGGGAACTGCTGGCAGCCCCTCTGGAGCAGGTGGCAGACGACAGTCTTTATGAATACCTGGATTTCGTAGACGCCACTGACCGGAACAGAGACCTGTGGGTGTGGAGATTGTTGGGTATATCAGCAGGTGTGTGTGGCATCGCAGCCTTGGTGGGGCATCTGGAATGCTTCCTCGTGGCCAATGGTCCTCAGGGTGTGATTTATTTCTACAGCTACTCACTGGTCAGTACCCTGGCCTTAGCGGTGAGCACTGCTTTTCCTGTTCCCGTAGTCCAGCAGCAGGCGCCCAGCAACAAAACCATCAAAGCCCTGTCCCTCATAAGAGGTGACTCCCGCCTCATCCTCCTAGCCTTCACTGTCTTTTGGATAGGAGCCACTGCCAGTACTGTGCAGAACTTCCTGTTCTGGCACATGAAGGACCATGGCAGTAGCGAGCTGGTAATGGGCTTCTCAGTGGCTATCGGCTTGCTAGGAGAAATTCTGTTTCACCCGTTCAGAACTTCGTTGCTAAGGCAACTGTCTAGGGTGGGTGTGCTGGGACTGGGCCTGGGCTGCCTGGCCCTGCAGATGCTGTACTACGCTTTCATCTGGAGTTGGTGGTCTGTCCTCCCTGTTCAGATCCTGAGCGCCATCAGCAGTGGGGCTCTGTGGTGGGCTGTGGGAGCCTCCATAGAGGACCTGGCCTCCTCTGGGATGGAGAGGTCTCTGAGCACCATGTTCCGAGGTCACTTTTATGGGAGTGGCTGCAGCCTAGGCAGCTTTGTCGGGGGCTTTGTAGTACGGCACTTCAGCATAGCTGTGCTCTACCAAGCCTGTTGTGTGATCTTGTTGCTTTGTCTGGCCTTGTTCCTGTCCATCCAGCCCAGACTGCCCCAAGAGCAGAGGATCAACTACTCAAAGCTGCTAGCTTTGGAAGGGAGTGACTACAGTGACTCTGAGCAGGGGTCAGAAGGGGACTGGCTTGTGAAGGCCATGAGGGAGGAACACTCGGACTGGAAGGGCTGAGAGGTGAGAATTCGCTGGTGAAGGACACACTCACAGAGGCCAGGACTCATGCCCTGAACTGCAGGGAACCTTAAGGGAAAGAAGCCATGTCTATGCCAAAGGCACAACAGAATCTGCTCGATGCATGATTTTATTTTGTAGTAAAAGGAGATTTTTTTTTTTACTTTTTTACTTTTTATGTGTTAGTATACATATGTGTTCATGTGTTTTTGTGGGTGTATATGCCTGCTCTGTGTGTGTGTGTGTGTGTGTGTGTGTGTACAGGCCCTAAGTCGTTCTTAGGAACACCACCCACCTCTTTTGAAACAGAATCTCTCATTGACCCGGAGTTCACTGTTTAGACAAGACTGGCTGGTTAGCAAGCCCCAAGATTCTCCTCCTGCTGCATCTGCCTCCCACCGCTGGGCTTACACACACACACACACACACACACACACACACACACACTACCACCACCACCACCATGCCTTCCATTTTCATGCCTTTTGGAGATCAGACTCGGGTTCTTCTGTTTGCAAAGGCTGCTTTACCAACTGAGTAATCTTCCCAGCCCAAGACCTTTTTAAATTTTACTTTATGTTATTGCTATGCAAACTGTTTAGAATATGGGAGAAAGAACACATTTGCTTTTGTGTTTGCTGATTTTGACCTGGGAGGCTTGCAAGGGCTTTCAGTGTAGGACTCTGGAGCAACTGAGCCCAGCAATGGAGCAATGACAGAAGAGGGGACATTAAACTGGTTGTGCATGGAAGGAAACCAGACCCGCAGGATGAAGTGGGCAGAAAGGAAGTTGATCTAGATGGGTTATGAGCCTTCCTGGAGGTAGGGGAGACACTAGATTAATCCTATAAAAAGCTGTGCTGGAGGCAGGTAAGGATGACACCCAACACTGAACACCACAAGTTTCTTAAAGGTGTGGCCACGAGGAAAAGGACACCAAGAATCCCATATTCCTGCCTGCACGAGCACATTGAGATTTTAATACCTACCTTGATTAGGAAGTAGCATTACTGAACCTGTTCTGACTCTTCCAAACCTGTGTTCCAAAAGCAAGTTTTTGTATGTTTGTTTGTTGTTTTCTGAGACAGGGTCTCTCTACATAGCTCTGGCTGTCCTGAAGCTCACTATGTAGACCAGGCTGGCCTCCAACTCACAGAGATCCACCTGCCTCCCGTGTACTGGGATTAAAGTTGTGAACTACCAGGCCCGCAGTTTTTTTACATCCCAATTCTTCTGCCTTATAATGAAAACAATAGAAACTGGACAGATGGCTGGGTGGTTAAGAGCACTGGATACTCTCCTAGAGGACCTGAATTTGATTTCCAACATCCACACGTGGGATCACAACCATCTGTAACTCCAGTTCAGGGGATCTGATGCCCTCTTCTGGCCTCTGCAGGGACAGCATGCTTGTAGCACACAAACATGCCAAAACAAAAACAACAAAAATACACATACCTTTTTGCCCTTTTCCCTCAGTACTTTCTGTGAAGCCTTATGGTACAGATAACTAACACAAAATCACCTCTGCATCAACAGACTCATTTGTCTCACATCAGCTATTGGGAGGAAGGCTACCCAGAGCTGATTGGTGCTCAATGATGGCAGACAGCCTATAATCCTGTCCCCTTAGGGCCCTGTCACACTCAGCTGCACCCATGTCTGTAATCACAAGAAGACAGCTGCCTCATCGCCAGGCCCCTCATCTGCTTTCCAGCTGTAAAAAGTGGGGATAATAAGACAATGAGAGAAACAGAACCAAGGAGGCCCAAGGCCTTCCCTGTGGGCCTTAGCTGACTTCTGTATAAACTGTGTCACATAGCCAGCTCAACTGTAAGGGAATCTGGGAAGCTGGATGTTTTATTGTTATTTATTATTATGTGTGCGTGATTGCAGGCACACATGTTTTGCCACAGAACATTGGCAGATGTCAAAGGACAGCTTTTTTTTTTTTTTAGATTCATTTGTTAACTATCAGTACCCTATCTGTATGTACACCTGACTGCCAGAAGAGGGCATCAGATCCCATTACAGATGGTTGTGAGCCACCGTGCGGTTGCCGAGAATTGAACTCAGGACCTCTGGAAGAGCAGCCTGTGCTCTTAACCACTGAGCCATCTCTCCAGCCCAAAAAAGGCAGCCTTCAAGATCAATTCTCTCTTTCACCATAGATTCTGGGGCTTGAACTTGGGTCCTCAGGCTCTGCAGCAACTGCTTTGACTGCTCACCCATCTCCTTAGCCAGCCTGGTAGCTGAGTCCTAGCAGAGTGGCGTCCCAGACAAATTCTGGGTTGTAGGAGGAAGAAGATAGGGTGGGGACAGTACCATAGAGTCGGATCATCTTCTGCAGGCACCCAGACTGCAGCCATTCTGAAGTCTCTGCTCTATTCACCTGAGCAAGCCAGCTTCCCCATAGAAATGATTTCAGCCATTTGAGCCCCCATGAGACATGCATGCAGGCAAAACAGTCACATACATAAAATTTAAGTGTTGAAAAAAATCTTCCATTTTACAACCAAGAAAACAAAATCTTAGGAAAATCCCAGGTCGGGTCCCAGGCCAACTGCCCATCCATCTCCCTATCCCAATTTTTGGGACATTTTTCTTCTGTGCCAGAACCTCCTAAGATTAACTGTCCTTCCAAGTCTGAGAGTATATAGAAAAAGATGGACTCCCAGGAGTCATCAGGGCCTCCTAGGTGGGAACTAGAATTCTCTGTGTCTACCCCAATCTCCAAATGGTTCTGATATGGTTAACTGAGCCCTTGTCCATTTGGTTCCTCTTTCCGTGCCTATCTGTCTCACCAAATGCTTTCCTGCTGACTACAGGCCAAACACGGTATCTGCACTAGTCCAGTCATCTTTACTCTTGAGATGTATTCACCACTAGCATCTACAGTTTACAGGTGACAAAGCTGATGTGTCATATACTTGAGGTCCCGTAGCTAGCAGGTGGCAGGATCAGGGTTCAGCTCCAGTCTGGTGGCTCCAGGACCTGAGCCTTCTTTTTGCCTTTGAAGGTTAATTTTATTATCATTATTATTATTATTATTATTATTATTATTATTATTATGAGCTGAATGGGAAAAGGGGGAAACGTTGGCCTTCCCTTGTCCTACAAATAAACAAAAGCATAAACTTTCTCAAATGTTGTGTGAATGCTCCTATGGAGATGAACAGACATCTATGTGTTCACCCAGACAGGGTACCACGAGAAACTACAGAAACGGTTCTACTCAAGTCTAGCTTGATGAACTGTGGAGTTCATTAGGGTTACTTAAAGGATTGTGAGCAACTTACAAGCAGCTATACTGGTTAAGAGACTCTCCTACAGCATTCTCTAACAGCCTCTGTGTTCTTGTTCTTAAGGAGAGGCCTTGTGACCCCTTCCCCACTAGCAGCTATCAACTGGCGATGTATCTTCCACAATCCTGAGATATATAAATAGGTTCAGGTGTGTGAAAGCAATCATAGCTGCTGAGAGCTCAAGAAGGCAATGGTTAGGGCTGGAACGATGGCTCAGTGGCTAAGAGCACCAGATTCAATTCCCAGCACCCACATGGCAGCTCACAACTGTCTGTAACTCCAGTTCCAGGGGATCTGACACCCTCACATCAATGCACATAAAATAAAGTTAAATAAATCATTTTTAAAAAGAAAGAAGGCGAGGGCCATGTCCTGTCCAGAGGCCAACACCCTTCTCATTCACAACACTTGGAGGTTTAGCATGACCGTCTAAAAACAAACCAAAAAGAAAAAGAAAAAAAGGGGAAAAAAAGGAAGAGCATTTATTATGGATTTCATATTTTCATATTTCTCTGCTTGGAGTTCTCTCCCATGGAATACTAATATTTCTTCTTTCAACATTTATTACCAAAAACAGGATGGGGAGAGGCTAGGCAGGAAAAGCAGATATGCTGGGTGCTAAAACTGGATGCTGTACACTGTGCAGGGATCGGTGCCAGCATTCATGGATTGCCACTTGCTGGGGGAAACTGGTCCTTTTCTAAAGAGTAATAGGAAGTACTCTGATGTCCAAACCTTGGTTTTAGTCCTCCTCTCTTGCTCTGATGTTTCTCGGTGCTGGTAAGGTCATGGCTGTGATTTTTAAGTGGTTATTACTTCTTTAGGTCACCCAGCTGGCAGTGAAGGTGATCTGAGGTCACTCAGCCCTCTTGCTGGGGGCCAGGGCAGGGTTTTCAGTTGGTTCCTCACCTGCTTTAATCTCTTTATAGTCTTGTGAAAAAGCATTTGGCTACATGGATAGTCGTGGGGATGCTGGTATTTGCAGCCAGCAGATGGCTGATTTTGGACCATCTGCTACTGGTTCTCCATCTCCCTCCCTCCCGTCTCCAACAGCAGGCACAAGTCATGACAGAGGAGGTCTCCTGGGGTGCCTAGAGTGGCAGGTTTGATTCTGGACCCGAAGCTGTGTTTCTCTCTCCAGTCTTACCAGCATTACAGGGAGGTCCATGGTGTCTGCAAAGTAACCTTTGCAGAACCTCAGTGGAGTGATTCCTTTCCATGGGGACTCCATCTGGGCCAGTGACAAAGGCTTCCCTACCTTTCTTCATCAGTGGCACCAAAGTCACAGTGTTTTCATTTCCTACATGGTGCAGAATGCAAGCTTTTCTTTGGGTGATTCTTGATAGCAGTCTGAAATGCCAATATGTCTTTTGTGTCATTTTCTGCCCACCTTTCGCTCAGGTGTCACTCACCCACTGCACTCTCTGCCTCCTTTGCTGGCCCCTGACACCTGGGTAGCCATTTGTCACAGTTAGCACCCCTGATCGGCAGCATGGCCACCAGCTCACCCACTGAATCCATGCTTGCTTCACACTTGAGAAAGGATCTCTCGTTGAACCGGAAGTGCATCTATTTTGCCCAGTGGTAGACATTGGCCAGTTAGCCCCAGAATCCACCTGTCTCTGCCTCCCCAGTGCTGGGATTAAGGAACACACTGCGACTGCCATGCCCTGCCTTCTAATGTAGGTGCTGGAAATCCAAACATAGGTTCTTTCACTTGAATACGGCAAACATCTTATTGAACCATCATACAACAAAACAGGGCCTCACTGTGCCACACTGGATGGTCTGGAACTCATCTGCCTCCATCTCCCCTGTGCTGGGATTAAAGGTGTGCACCACCGTGTCCACCATC